TATGGCCTTCCAAATACCGTTTCGATTCCTAACATCACTGAAGAGACATTAATTGTCGAAATCCGGATATGGTGTACTAACTTTTGTTTGCGGTAAATCACCTTTTCCGCAAGTTTATTGTTTTCTGTTTGGTATCAAATTAATAGTTAAGATCAGATCCATTTTGTTACATCTGGTGATTCGTTTTTTTTTTGGCAATCGCCATGGCAGTCAGCAGGGTTTAAGAACATCCGTTGTTCGACCTGCTAGTCAAATGCGTTTTGTTAAAATATACTTTTTCACTCTTTTGGTCTTGGAAAATGTTGTTTGTGCTGTATTTAGACCCCACTACCAAGAAATTAGTTTTGCATGCACATGTATAAAAATTGCGGTTTTTATCCAACGCAATCATAGGTTTGAACGTTGTTTTCAATTTAGACTTGTATATATATATATATATATATATATACATATATATAAAAATCTACGCAAAAACAAAACGAATTTATGTTGACCTTTGACACTGTATGACAGTTAAAAAATTAATTATCAGGGGGAATTTAGACGGGATTTTTTTTACTTTCGAGACAAAAGCCAACTTAGGCGTACTTATGCATCCCGCCATTGTAATATTGTTCTATGTTCATTTTTTGTATTCCTGTCTTTCATTCTTACTTATGTCCTTTGTCTATATGCCATTTTGTTTTTCTTTGTTGACATATTTGTTGGTTTTTTCTTTGGTGATTTTATACTGATTAAGATTATAATACAATGCTGACACTGCTGTACCCCTATTTTTGACATTTTTACCTAGTATGTCTGTTTGTTTTGTTCACACATTGTTGTCAATATAATGGAATTTTATGCAACTGTCATACAGGTGAGAGGTTTAGCTAGCTATAAAACCAGGTTTAATCCACCATTTTCTACATACGAAAATGCCTGTACCAAGTCCGGTCAGTTGTTTTCCATTCGTTTGATGTGTTTGAACTTCTGATTTTGCACTTTGATAAGGGACTTTCCGATTTGAATTTTCCTTGGAGTTCGGTATTTTTGTTATTTTACTTTTTACTGGCATGCCAGCTCTAGACGTTCATTTTAATTTCTGATGTATCAACACTCAACTGCAGAAGCTATACAAGTATAAAATGCGCAGGCTGTTATGCCAATGAAAACATAGTAAAGTTGTACAAAAAACTTCCAAATGTTAACCATATTTTTCAAATATCTTAATTTTACGTAAAATCATCGTTTATGTAATGACAAAGATTTTGAAAATATATAAATTGAAAAGCCATTACTCCTTTTAACTCCTTTGAAAGATGAAAGGAGCAAAAACACTCAAATACAATCTATTTCATTACTTCGTATTAATCGTTCTCCGATGCTTCGGAAATATTTGCAATATTTTCCATGTGTATGAGCAACATTTTTATTCAATAACTGACAAATTAATCCTTTCCGTTTCACACCAGTAGTGTAGCGGTGAAGCAAATTGTTTTTGCGTTAAGTCTTGTTTCATCGACATTTTTGAAGTACAAGTGTGATTAAGGGCTCAATATAATCCTCAGAATACCAGCAATGTGATTTAATGGGCATCAAAAAACTTCTATCATTATCTTTTTAAAGTTGATTTGCCTTTCACTGACAAACTATCTTTCTTTTTAAATTTTACAAAGTAGTTTTACAAAGAAGTCTATACTGGTTTTTTTTGGGGGGAGGGGGATATGACTATACTCAATAACTGTGCAGAGTGTTTTGAAAGAATAATATCAACATAATATTTGCTTAAAATCAAGAATTGGTAATTCAATGAATTTTCCCTTGTAAAGAACAAATTTAGTTTACTGCTTGACTGACCACGATTCAGGGATTTGACTTCGACGAAAAAACTTCTGAAATCAGTTATTTTGAATAATATTGACATCCATATTTGAAAGCTTATAGCACGTATTTCCTCTTTTCATACCAATATGGAAACTTGTTTGTCTTGTATTAGACTTAGTTCATTGTTTTTCCACCAAAACTATACCCTATTAGCGCAACAATATGTCTCTACACGACTTTCCCCAGAGGGATTTCGTATTTTTTCACATTTTCACCACAAGTCACGTGACTTTTGGAAAGATACCAAGTGACCTAAAATTATCTCCAAATTTAATTTTATTAAATACTAATTCAATCAATTGGTTTTTTTTTATATATGAGTGCATGTTTCGCTCAGATATACTCAATTACACTGAATTGATTGTTGCTATAACTATAAATGACCAGCATATATATAATGAAAGAATAGAAACAAAATTATCTTTGAACCTTGGAACTGCACGACTAACACAATTTATCATCATACAATTGTACGACCACTTGGAATGAATTTCCCTCCACACTTACAATAAAATACTAGAATCAAAGTTGAACGAATTATCATTACAAATAAGGCAAGGAATGCTGGTGTTTAAATGACGCTTAGCTGAAAGTACTAAGCAGTGTACTCCAAAAAAACAATCTCCAATTCTTCGAAGACAAATGGCTGTTTATACGGTTATCTACATGCATAATGAGTATCTATTTCATCGTTGATACAATATTGTTTGGCTTGCGTTTAATGTATTGGTTTCCTTGTCAGAGGGTCGTTGCTTACACGAAAGCAATTGAAGCAAAAGTTTTAAATTCATCTTTTCGAAGTTGTACGAAAACAATCCTTATTTTATTGACCGTTGTTAAGTATCACAGATGACAACGTATCTGTTTGACAAAGGACTTTCCATTTTGAATTTCCTTGGAGTTCGGTATTTTTGTTTTTTAACTTTTCACTTGTAAGCACAATCCGATATTAATTTCGTCGTTGAAGACTACAGCGAATGCGATACTTGTCACTTTATTTGCCATTCGTACCATGCCACCAGTAGAACAGAAGCTATTGACTAATTCCGAAAAAGGTAAAGGACAATTCAAAGCTAGGATGCAAGGCAAAGGTGATGATACTATTTGCAACATACCGCAAGAAAGGTGTTTTATCTACATAGACTCATCAGTGTCGCTTGAACCACAACAGGTGCAAAGCCTAAGCGTATTTCATTAAGACAATTCCATAAAAAAAATTATATTCTGAATAAAGGAACAACTTCACAAAGTAGAATTCACGAGTTTTTAGGTCGTCATTACGAATTATTTGACGATACAGTGTTTTAAGGTCGCCATTACGAATAATTTAATCGTAAAAGTGTCTCAGTTTCTCAGTTTCTTAACTTAAAACCGATATTTAAGCTCTTGTCAAATACTTAAATTGAACACTGCTATTATATTAAACTTTAGAATCCGATGACAGCCTTGTTTACGCATAGCAAGAAATGCTTTAGTTACTCTAACAACACACTTGCAATTCTTTATAATAACTCAGTACCTAATTGAAAACCAAGCCAATGATGAAAAAATATAAAAAAAATAGATAAGTAAATAATATTGTAAGTGCGGTTGCCCTTACAATCGTGTATGATCTCATTAATAGTTTGTTATGAAAAATAAATAAATAAAGCTTTTTACGAAAAATGAAATAAACGCATAACGTACTTGAGTAATTATTCATTACAAAAGAGATCATATTGGTGAATAAACAAGTGTTGTTAACATCAAGATGAAAAGACGATTTAAAGGAACATGGATTAGCTGTGTAAGAACAGGAAATGACAATTAATAAATATCGAGGCATACAATGAAAATTGTCGTTCAAATGTACTGTCCTATGTCGATTTTTTTTTCTTTTTTCATTTTACTGCTTACTTACGAAAACATTAAACGAGTTTTTAATCCATAACATTAAACCAACCATAATGCGTATGTTAATTTTCCATATAAAAGAGAAAAAAAACATGTTGCTGGATACCTTTATAAACTACTTTTTGATATCGAGATAACAAGGTCATGGAAATATAATTAATTACAATTTTAAAGTGCACGGGTTGTAACGATAATATTACAATCATTTGAAAACCGCAATAAAATGTAGGTGTTTGAAATGTTATTTACTATATTTCACGGCTGGAATTATAAACATTGTGCCCTGGTGGGGATCATTGTATTTTTTTATGATCTTTAAATCAATTGTATAGTGTTTGGTGTTTTTTTATGATATAACAGTACATTGTAGGTTTCCCTCCGACTTTGTGATGTAGAGCTCAATACTGTATGAAGAAAAGACCTGTTTGGGTCAGGGGCCCACTGAATAAACTTCTGAGTTGAATTGTTCCACCTGAGATCACCCCAGTTTTTGGTGGAGTTCGTGTTGCTTAGTCTTTAGTTTTCTATGTTGTGTCATCTGTACTATTATTTGTCTGTTTATCTTTTTATTTTAGGCCATGACGTTAACGTTGTCAGTTTGTTTTCGATCTATGAGTTTGACTGTCCCTCTGGTATCTTTCGTCCCTCTTCCATATTTTACATGTCGAAGCTTTTTATAGCCGACTAAACGGTATGTTTTTTTCTCGATGTTGTAGGCCGTACAGTTGCCTATAATTACTTACATCCTCTTCATTTGAACTGTGGTCGATAGTTGTCTCATTGGCGATCATACCAAATCTTTTTATTTTTATACTTATTCTTAATAAACAAAATCCGTAAAATGGATGGAAAACAATGTATAAGAATTAAAGATATCAAAATATCTTAATAGTTTGTAAGAAATTTACGAATCATAATGCATGTTACAATGGAAATTAATATAAAGATATTGAAGTGATGAAATAAAAAAAGTCGGAATAAGGTAAATATTTAACAAAATGATGCATAGAGTATTCAGGAGTTATACATTTACATTTAACTCATTACATGGTGTTAACAGCTATTAGACTGTTTGAATATTTGAGTAGAGTATGACATTTTAAACACATAAAAGATGTGAAGTCGTACCGTACATCTGAGTTCCAAGTAAATGGATTTACAGGTCAGCAACAACAACTTAAACATAAATACACGAAAATATTCATATTCAAATTTAAAGTTTACTTGTTATATGTGACAAGTTTAAACATATGGACACCATATGCTGCAACTTGCATGTACAAACATTGTTCCTATAACAAGACAACTATACCATTGTTAACTTTCAAGTGTTGAGATATCCACGAAATTGAAAGCAACCTAATATGTTCTTAACAATTATTGTTAAAGTAATTTACTAGCTGTACTTTCCGGTGCATTTTTGCGGAATGACACGTTATCCGAGACAGGTTTTCATATTTCTGAAATCTTTTAAGCGCATTCATGACATAGTTTTTATATCTTAGGAAGTTACAGTCACATCTTAGCGGATTTCCCGTTAAATCAACAATAATTGGCACAGAACCAGTAAGATAATCTTGCATGTCTACTGGAATTTCAGTTACAGAATTCTGAGATAGATCAACCACCAGCGGTTCTGATTTTGAGACCTTTTCTGTGGAGGGTGATTCCAAAAAATTGAACTTTGTAATTCTATTATAAGAAAGGTCTAAAAGTTTCAGTTGTGGAAAATATTTCCTCCAATCAATCAACTCTTGAGGTACGCTTATGTATCCATTATCAGTCCAACGAAATGTGTGAAGTTTCGGGAAATCTGAATAAGCAGTCATCAGTAGAAAACTATATTTGCTGCGAGAGATACTTATACTTTCATCAATGTATTTTAAGTTTGAATATTTGCATCTATATTTTATTTGCCCAAGTCTGTTAAAGAATTGATTTAATGATGAAAAAACCTTTAGGAATTCATCTATTGTAATATCCTCCATTTTGTTTGTAACCATGTAGGATATATTACGCCAAACTGACCTCTGTAAGGTTTGTTGTCCACAATCGATTTCCTTGGTCAATGGTGTGTTAAATAAATAGACTCCACGTTTCAAGTTGCTAGCAATAACGCAATCTTCTAAAGATAACTCTTGTAGCTCATCTTTCAAATTTGTTGGAGTCAAAGACTCTGAAAAGAATCCTTCTAGTACACATCCTTTCACGTTAAGTTTGATTAGTCCTCTCGCTTTCATTGGCCATGGAAGGAAGAATACCCCCTTCGAACTACAGGTTACATCTAAGGATACTGTAACTGTTCTCTCAAGCTCAGATGTCCATTGTTTAAAGTCGATAAAATCTAAGCGAGAGTCTACAAAGATTTCACATTTCCTTAAATTAGCAGCTATATTCTGTGGACAGTTCATATCAAAGAAACTGCGAGACTGACATGTAACTGCTAGTATCAGATCAATTCCTACAAGTATTCCAAACAAGTATAACATTTTGTCTGTTTTCAATATTAATGTGCGAAATTAATTTTAATTTCATTTATATGTAGTCAAACATTACGTCATTATTTCTGAAGGTAGGACAACCTCCGGGCATGATATGAAATACAGACTGCATTTGTAGTGTGGGCGACTTTTAAAATTGTCAAATGTCTTTACGTCTTTGTTCAACTTTAAAAACACATCGTTTCCTACAAGAGGGACGAAAGATACCAGAGGGACATTCAAACTCATAAATCGAAAATACACTGACAGCGCCATGGCTAAAAAAGAAAAAGAATTCAGTCGTTTTGACTTGATTAGTAGCTGCATTATATATATATAATACTAAAATAACGAGGTCCAATTTGTTAGCCGGCATGACGAAAAAAAGACGAATCAAAGAATTCAGCTTTATACATAACTAATATAGGACAATAGTGTTGACCATTCTAGGCCCTTTTGTTTTCCACATAATTAATATTTCCATTGATTAACAAGTTCTGGGCCGAATTCGATACCAATACCAATAGTTTATGTCACATGTAGTTTCCGGTTGTCTGGATGATGTATGTTCTGTATCTTCCTCCTTTATTAGGAGGACATCATGGGTTATGGTTTAAAAGAGTACATTTTACAAACTGTTTCTGTACAAATTTAATGCGAGCATTTGCCAAAACAGTTTTCCATCCTGGCCGTGACGGGTCTCACTACCAGAAAGTTAACCTCCCAAAAAAACAACAGTTACAATGCAATAAAACATACGAATACACACTTGCCTGATTTGCTCATCCTCAAAATATAAAACAATGTAAAAGATAAAAACAATTAAATACAAAATAAGGGATAAGGTACACAAATGTCATGGCAACGAACGGGAAACCGGTAAGGACATATTGTAGTAAGAATACCAGGACGGGTTGAAACAGGCGATTTTGAAAGCAGGGAAAACTGTGCACCTTATAATCAGCATGACTTTATCAGATAGCAATACGAATACTAAAAATCCAGGCTAAAAATAAGGCGTAGGTACCTTAATTCAGTCACGGACCGCGATGTCGCGGGTGTGTTCTAGTCTTTATAAACTATTTTCAATTTGGGTATTTAAAAAGTGGACCGGATTCTAAATCAAATTTTGTGATATACCAAACATGTACATACGTGTGTATTTATTAAATTAAACAGAATGTAATGTATATATCTTTCTGTTTTTGATGTATTTAACTACCTTAAACAATGACAAATCGCTACAGTGATCATCAAAAACATCCCTCATTCACAAAATATCACAAACTTTTACCTAAGCGATGTCACAAGACTAAAGCATTACTGATATATCACGTGCATTTAACAACATCCTTCATAGAGGTTTTATATATAAAATATAAAATGTCGGGGAAATACCTTACAGTTTATGTGAACATTATTTATGACATGTGTTTCATGCTCTCTGTGGCGATGTGTTATTGTTAGTGTTAGTTACAAGACATGATTAAAAAAATGAAACTTAAAATCATCTTCTTTTTTAAGAAGAGAAATTCTGTGCCAGTAGATCAATTCTGGTGTTTGACATTCTAATTTAAAGTTGGAAATAAGGATAGTGGTATATTGGTATATGTAAAGAGAACCTAGATTATTTAGAGAGAGAATATATCGTCTAAATATCTAAATGATTTTATCTATCAAGTGGTGTCTTTGGTCTTTATAAAGGAGGTGGCGTTAAAAAGTATAACATAAAAAACGTAAATTAATGGGCGTGTGTCTACTCTTGATTTTAACAAAAACGCGTAACATAACTGATGTCAGCAAGTTTGGTTGTAAAAGTCCATTCGCAAATATTACAGCAAAATCAATTAGGTCATAAATACAAGATGGAATGCAGAAGTATTTAAATCATTATAAATTAATTTAATCTAAAACTTCATCATTCCTGACTGATGCATCGACATTAATATAGAAATGTTTTGGAGTTGGATAAAGTTTTCGGAAAATAGAGATTATGAATGCAAGCTCTCAATCTTTCAAATGATATCATAACATGGAATATAAAAATGAAAAAAAAATCTTCGCTGAAGGTTTTTGTTTTATTATTATCTTTATTACATTATCCGCTGAGTCGAAGTTAATGATATAAATTATGGCTCGTTTCAATCAGCAAAGAAAAAGAAAAACCAGCACGGAATATACTTTACAATTTATGTTGAATAAATCGAATCTCTAAAAAATTTCCTTATTTTAGTGGAATTAAAAATGGTACATCAAGAAGATACTATGAGTATCGGTACATGAAAAGCACTTACCTCTATAATGCCGGTATATCAGAATACCAAACAAAAGTTACTAAAAACAAGCTCAAATATACTATACTAACCTGATGATATGAAACTCATTTCTAATATCGATTGCTGTTATTTTCAATATCAATTTGTTCCGCGTAACAGAAGTTCCTCTTGGAATTTGTCATAAACTTTGCTATATTATCTGTTCCTGTTGGAACACATATTCTATACTCTTTATTACGTTAGAAAACTTTATTGTTAGAGTTTTTGAAGCTATGTCTTTGTATCCATTTTGTATCCATTGGGTCTAATCTTACTGTCTTGTATATGGTATTAAAAAAAAACAATTTCATCATGCAATACATTGTATTTCCATAGATTTAAGAATGACCAATCTTGCTCAAATATCTCTGCTTTAAACGCTTTGTGCAAGCCACTCAAACCTAAAAATATATCCAGAAAAGGTTACTGACATATGGGTTGAACAACGATTTTACCATTTAATTTTACCGGTATTTATTTTAATAAAAAAGTAGAAACAAAAAATATTTATAAATCGATTGGACATAGAAGACTGGTATCATTGTGCATTTGCATGTCAAGTTTGCAATTTCTTTATTGATTTGTGTCTTTTGTTGATTACAATTTAAAGGTGATTTCTGGCCGTAACAGAAATTGGGGGCTCGTCCAGACGAACGTTAATATCAGATTAAACTTTTCTGTAGTTATAGAATTAGAATTAGCCAACACAATTCTACAAAATGGCATTCGATGCCGGTAAATATTTGAAAACGCCAGTCTTGGAAGGGTTTGATAACTTAAAGAAAGAGGATTTAGTGTTGTTTGCTAAACATCTAAAAATTGATTTTAGAGTATCTATGAGAAAAATAATCATACAAAATTTAGCAATAGACAAATTAGTTTACGCTGAAATTTTAGGTAAAGAGGCTCTTTAACTTAAAGTAGAAAATGTTGATGCTTTCAAATTAAAACAGCATGAATTAGAACATGAATTTAAATTAAAACAATTGGAAAAAGAATTGGAAAACGAAGTTAAAATAAAACCATCGGAAAAAGAAAAAGATGAATTTAAATTAAAACAGGCTGAACTTGAAATGAGGGAAAGGTTAGAGATGGAGAAAATAAAAATTGAAATGGTCAAAGCAGAAAGCAACACTAAAGTAGAGTCAAAATCAGAATATTTTGATTCAGCAAAAAATATACGTTTGGTTCCCAGATTTTGTGAAAAAAACAGTTGATAAATGTTTTCCACAGTTTCAGAAAATTGATCAAAATTTGAAATAGCAAAAAAGCCTTATTGGACAACAATGCTGTAAAGTGTTTTTGAGGGCAAGGCCGCTGAAATTTACTCAGCACTTTCACCAGAAAAACGTTCTGATTATGACACTGTAAAACAGGAAGATTTGAAAGCTTATGAGCTAGTGCCAGAAGCATATAGACAGACATTTAGGTCTTATAAAAAGTTTGATTCACAAACCTATGTTGAATTGGCTAGGGAAAAAGAAGATCTATTTGATAAATGGCTTACGTCAAAGAAAATATATAACGATTTTGATAATATAAGACAACTGATGTTCAAGCAGTGTGTTCATTTAGACTTAAAACACATTTAGATGACAAAACTGTTGAGACATTACAAGATGCAGCTGTTATTTCCGATAATTATACCCTTTCACATAAAAAAAGTTTCAAAGGTCAAAATTTTAATACTTCGAGCGGAAATTACAAAAATCAAAGTACTGAGCGTACTTATTGTAAGCCTGTTGCACAGAATAAGAGTCAGTCTAGTTATAATATGTCTCGTCCGAAATTTGATACTTTTGAGAAGAAGTCACTAACTTGTGCTTATTGTAAGAAAAATGGTCACCTGATGGCTGATTGTTTTAGACTCAAGAAGAAGAATGAAAGAGATAATAAACCCAAGTCCAGTGCTTTTACGACACCCCTTGTTACCAATAAGTTTGAATATCCTGCGAGTCAGGCTTGTAAGTCCATTTTTTTGTGATTACATGGAGGATTATAAACCCTTTATGTCTGATGGGTTTGTTTCTATTGTTGATAATACTACCCCTCAGCCTATAAAGATTTTACGGGACACTAGAGCTTCCCAGACTTTATTGTTCTAAGGTGTGTTGCCTTTGTCCAAGGAGACGTCTGTCGGTGCCTCCGTTTTATTACAAGGTGTGGAGTTAGGTTGTATAGATGTTCCCCTCAATCGTATTGGTCTGAATCCAGAATTGATTACTGGACCAGTTGTTGTGGTTGTTGGTCCTAATCTCCTTGTTGAGGGTGTTTCATTATTGCTAGAAATGATCTAGCTAGGAACAAAGTGATTGCTGAACCAATTGTTACCAGTGAACCATTGGTGGATTTTAAATCACCGGATGATGATACTAAACTCTATCCTGTTGTTACTATGGCGATGACAAGAAAACAACAAAATAAGGATTTATAAGAAGACCAGTATGATTACATGGACCTTTCTGACACTTTCCTTGCCGACATTGAAGGTCCCTGTAGCTCAGAAAAGGCCATAGTAAGACCATCTAGTACTAACAAGAATGTAATTATGCCATAGCCAGACGTGAACAGCCATTCATTAGACAAAACAAAGTTTGTGGAAGAGCAAAATAAAGACCCTGAGGTTCTTCAGCTCCGCAAGAGGGCTCGATCGCAGGAGGAAGCAGACAAAGTGGCTGAATGTAACTACCAT